GACCCCGACTGAGCCACCAATGCAGCATCGTCAGCATAGAGATAGACTTCACAGTTGCTGGGGCTAGAGACGTCATAGATATACAGTGAGTAAAGGATAGGTCCAAGGACCGAACCCTAAGGGACGCCGGCTGTAATCAGCCGTGTTGTCTATAGGACATTGTCAATTTTGATCCGAAATTTCTTACCTTCAAGGAAGGATTTCAGAAGTTTTAGAAGCCAAAAGAAGAAGCTCTTTTGTAATAGTTTATACAGGAGATCCGCGTGTCACACCTTGTCAAATGCTTTTCAGACATCCAAAAGCAAGATGCCAGTACTTTCGTTAAGGGTGTATCCTCTGGTTACTCGTTCCACCAGCCTAACCGCCTGTAGCTCCGTACTATGTTCAGACCGAAAACCGAATTGCATGTCAGGAATCACATGGTGATCTGACGAGAAGTTCTAGAATCACGTTTTCAGCGAGCTTAGACGGAGCTGACAGCAGGCTAATGGGACGATAATCCTGGGGAAATATCGAACCCACCTTCTTTGGAATCATTATAACTTCAGCGGTCTTCCACGCGGATGGGAAGTACTGGGTCCTTAGCATGGCATTGACTATTGCCACGAGATAAGTTAAGGACTTCCGCAAAATCAGCTTTACCACCTGATTAGAGATTTGATCCTCTCCAGGTGCTTTACGCACTTTAAGGTCTTTAATATGACCTTGAATCTCTGCTGGTGTGCAATGGGGGATCTCGGGAGATTCCGCTGATGTGCTAATCAGATGTTCGGTTAAGAAGCTTCTGAAGAAGAATCTTCTGATAAAGAAAAATCACCAACGGTAGCGCGCCTGTCACTGATGCTATTGGTCTTAAAATATCTCCTGATCGGCAATTCGTGTCGACGACATTGAGCACTTGAATTAACTAACAATGTTTTTTTTTTTTTTGTTCTGTTATTGGCACTGGTCGATGACCAACTGGCCAGATCCTTATGTATAATGCTATGCTTTAATAGAAAATAGAACATCCATTACTTAATATTACTATTGTATATTATTTCTATTATACTAGATGCAAACACATTTGTCTTTTTTTTGTTTTTTTTTTTAACCAATACTTTTTACTTATTTTTTCTTTTTCTCTATTTTGTTTATAAGATTGTTTTTTTTTCTACTGATCTGCTTTTTTTGTTTTTTCAATATTTTCTTCTTTTTTTCATTTTTTCAAACAAACTTACTGTAATTTACATTTTATAATGTTAGGCCTACTTTCCGACAATGCTTGTATAAAAGTTCGTAAACTTGCTGGTTCTCAGAACTGAGAATTGATTCTAAATTTAGAGGCAAAGGAAGGTGATTGGCTAAAATTTTATACAATTCATAATTTTCGTTGTTAGAACTTGTACATTCTAATATTAAGTGTTGCAAGGTTCCTATATTTCCGCAACTGCAAAGTGGATCATGTCCGTATCCAATTCTTGATTTATGATGGGGCGTTAGGACATGACCACTTCTTATTCTGCTCACGGTTCTAATGTAAGGACGATTGGTAATTCCTTGAAACCAAGGTCTGCTTCGAAAAGTCTCTTGTATACGTTTCAGGTAACTTCCTGTTGGACTGATTTTGTAATGGTTATTCCATTTATTCTTTAGTCGTTGTCTGATCAGAAAATGAGCGTCAGTAAAAGGAATCTCTATGCCCGGAACGTAATCGCCTCTAGTTGTAGCTCTTTTTGCAAAATTATCTACCACCTCGTTTTCTTTTATACCTGAGTGGCCTTTGATCCAGACTATGTTTATAGTTTTGTCGATTTTATTCAGCTCCTGAATGCGCGTGATGATGTTCGCAATTAGATGATTAAGATCTGCAGTGGGGTGACAATTCTCCAATTTTGTTACAGCACTTCTACAGTCGGTAAAAATAACAAAATTCGTATTTCCATGGAATTGGAAACAGTATTCAATAGCTTGGTTGATCGCAACCAGTTCTGCTGTGTATACCGAACATTCAGGTGGCAACTTGAATTCTTGGTGATACGAATTGTTGCTGTGATAAAATGAACATCCCGCTAAATTGTCTTTCTTCGAACCATCCGTGAAGATATATTCCCATCCACTCCATCGTGTTCGAATATCATGCCGGAATTTGTAAGGTGTTGATAAATCTAGTTCGGAATATTTCGTAAAGATAACTTCGGATGGAGAGTTATATGCCGAATATTCAGGTATGAAACATGGGTTGATTTGATTAGAGCGTACCTTCTTGACGGTAGGAAGAAGCCACTCATAACTCTCTATGATCAGAGGAAGCCTTTTGTGTTGCCAGTATTTCGCTGTTAATCCATGAATAAACAATTGGTGGATCTCGTTAATGAATCCCCTGCTGACCAGTTTAACCAGGGCTTTATCGCTCAACATTTGTCGTCTCAATTGAAGAGGAGGTTCGATACATTCAACCTCCAAGACATTGATGGGAGTGCTATTCAAATATCCGATACATAGCCTAAGGCACTTATTTTTGATCTGTTCTATTTTTTGAAGATGAATTCTAGATGCATTTCCATAAAGTATTGATCCGTAGTCCAAGATTGATCGAACTAAGGTCCTGTAAAAGGTTAAGCACACTGCTGGATCTGCTCCCCATTTCCGATGTGAAAAGGACTTCAGAATGTTAAAAGATTTCTGACTTCTCTTTAAAATGTATATAATATGTTCTTTCCAGTTAAGTTTTTTATCTAGGATAACTCCTAAATATTTGACAGAAGTTTTATAAGATATATTATGCCCAGCCAGAGTGATGATATTTGTAGGACTAAGGCGAGATCTGGTAAACGTACATACACAAGATTTTGAGTAGGCAATGGAAGATCCATTATTCTCAAACCATTCGTGTGCAATGGAAGTCGCTGTTTCTAGAAGTTCCATAGATTGAGATAAATTTTTGTTCTGGATACTAATGGCATAGTCATCTGCAAACTGATATATTTTAGCATCTCTTGAATTAAAAGCTCTTTCAAAGTCATAGGAATATATTATATACAAGATGGGACTCAATATACTCCCTTGTGCTAGTCCTTTAGATGTTGATCGTGGTCCAATAGTCTGCTCAGAGGCTCTGATGAAAATGTTTCTATTGCTATACAGTAATAACAAATGGTTGGCAAGTTCTTTTGGAAGACCAATATTTATAATTTTACTGTATAGTATATTCAAGTCTACATTATCATAAGCTCCCATAACGTCTAAAAATATTACAGAAGTATGCGTGTTATTCGAAAATCCAATTTGGATATCAGTTGTTAACTTTATCAGTAAGTCTTGAGTAGACCGTCCTTTTCGAAATCCATATTGCGAGCTTGGGAGCAATTGGTTTTTCTCCAAGTAGAATTCCAACCTGTTCTTGATGAGTCTTTCGTAAGTTTTCAAAACGCATGAAGCTAGTGCAATGGGACGATATGAATCTTAATGATGTTCTGGTTTTCCAGGTTTCAGAATTGCAATAATTATATAATCGTACCAATCTTTCGGTATTTCAGCATTCCCACAATATATTTGATTGAAAATATCCAATAACGATTGTTTCGTTGTTGTAGGTAGTTGGTATAACATCGAATAATGAATTTGGTCCTTTCCCGGAGATGTATTGTTGTTCTGTTTGAAGACTCTCTGTAATTCTATCATGGTAAGAGGTTGCATCAGTTCATGGTTAGTCCACGTTGATATTCTTCTTTGGATGTTGTTACTTACATAATTTGGGGCCAACTTACAATGAAATTCCTGTACCCACTCTGCTGAAGCTTCTATAACATGATAATTACTCTGTCGCCCATTTTTATACAAGTTAACTTGCTTCCAAATTTGTTTAAGTGGGGTGTTACTATTTAAAGATGAACAATATTGACGCCAACTTTCTCTTTTAACCTTTTTGAATATTTGTTTGGCCTTCGCGTCAAGTTTTTTAAAATTAAGTATGTTTTCGAGGTTTGGGTTTGTCTGATATAGTCTAAAACTATCCTTACGTTTTTCTACTGCTATATTACATTCATTGGCCCACCATGGTTTTCCTTTGACATTATTTCTGTTTTCATATTTCGGAATAGAAGCTTCAGCTGACTGGTTAACATTTTTGATGAAAGTGCTGTAATCTATAACAGGTTCTACATAAGATCTATTTATACTCTCGAAACAGAACTGATTCCAGCAAGCTTTGTTTATGTTCCATCTTCTATTTGATGCAAATGACAATTTTTCTGGAGTAAAATTACAATTGATAAGTATAGGCAAATGATCTGAACCACATGGGTCTGGCAAGGTTCGCCATTCTAGCTGATGATGAATTTGAGGTGAACATAATGTAAGATCTATTGCTGATTTTGATTGATATTTTACCTAAGTTGGATCTCCATTGTTAATAAAACTGAGATTACTGTCATCTAGAGATTCAATCAGGATTTTCCCAAATACGTCATTCTGAGCACAACCCCATGAAGTGTGATGTGCATTAAAATCACCTCCTATAATACATGGACTGTGTAAGGAACTAAAAAATTGTATCCATTCCTGTTTAGTGATTTTGGTTTGTGGTTTAATATATACTGATACGAATGTAATATCTGAGATTCCTTGAAACTTCACTGTAGAACATACTTTCATTATTTTATTACAAGCAACTAATGATATTTGAGAATATTTTAAACTATTTCTCATCAGTATGGCCTTTGCCATCTGACCGGTCTTGACGGATAACGTTATAACCTTTAAATTTTACATATGTATTCATTTTAAACCAGGTTTCAGATAAAAGTGCGATGTCCACATTTTGTTCTTCTAAAAGGTGTTCCAAATTACCCTTATTTGCTATAGCCGATCTACAATTCCATTGACATATCCTCAAAAAATTCATTGTGGTTTCTAAATGCATTGTATAGATTCTATTTTATGTTTTTCATAACGTACGAACACCTTGGTAAAAGTGTAAAATGATTAAAAATATACTGTAATTTTCTTAATTCTTAAACTTATTTGTCTATATTTAATCTTTCTCTTATGAGATTAGTTATAGTTGATTTATTCAAGCTGTTGATGTTTGTTTCTCTAAAATTTGTAAGAACAAATATAACCAATTCTGAAACATGTTGGATGAACGTCTCATCTCTCGTATTAAATTCGTGTACACAATAACTGGGGTTATTAGTGATACCCCCGGGTACCTGTGGAGTGTTTACTTGACTCACAATTTGTCTCCTAGCTTCTTCTGTCAAATCTGGCGAGGAAGGCGAGTTCCGTTTCATAGGTTTAGACAACCTTTGTGTAAAGTGCGAATTCGCATTTGGAATATTTATTGATGTTTGAGTGTTTGATGATTGAGATGGAAGATCAGAACTATTGATTTCTTGAGGCGTAATGGGATTATTTTTTGTAACTGAAGCATATGTGGTTTTTGGCACCGCATTGTTTGAGTCTCTAAAAGAAGAATTAGTCATTGCCATATGCTTTTTAATTGCCTTTTGCCTCTCAAATTCATTACATTTTGAAGTTTCCAATGAGTAGTGACTGCCATCGCAAATTAAACATTTTTGTTCCAAAGAGTCGTTGTGGCATGAGCTAGTAACATGTTCTTCGTGACATTTTGCACACCTAGGCTTGCTTCTACATTGCTTACCCAAATGACCATAACGCATACAGTTATAACACAGAATTACCTTCTGTATATAATGATTTACATCAAAAAGAACGTGATTTATAGCAACACGCTTAGGCAATTCTTGCGCTTGAAAAGTAACTACAACCTTATTTATAGGTAGATATTTAATGTCACCATTTTGATCTGATTTCCGGTGCATGCGTTTAACCGAATCCACCGAGAAAATACAGTGAGAATCGAAAGGTTTGATCCTCTCCAACAAGTATTCGTCTGATAAGTCTTTGTCCACCGAAATAACACCCTGTCTATATAAAATGAATTTGGGTATATAAACGTCTAAATTGATAGTTTTGAATAAAATCGTTTTATTTAACAGGACATTTGCTGCTGATGGATTTTTGAACACAATCCTTACCCTATTGCGTCCAATCGATTCAATTCTTTTAATCATATTGTCAACTTCAGGAATATTTTTGAGAATAGTTTCACCAACCTTAATTGGATTTAACTTACCTGAGAAATTTGGTTCATTGTTTTCGATATAAACATGATAGGGGCCCTTATCAGTTTGCTTATATGTTAAAAGCGGTCTATCTGCTTTTTTGGGAGATAATGTTGGAAGTTCTACCTGCATTACTCCTGATTGTAGATCATAGTCAATTGTATTATCATTACCGACCTGGGAATTATCTTCAATAGTTGCATCCATTGAATCCTTCGATTCCTTCCTTTTCTTTCCAGGGGGCAAGCCCCCTTGGGAGACACTCATATATGTTGCGGGGCTCCTGCTCAGACTTGATATACCTAAAACTACTTACAGAACAGCTAAGTTTCGGCACTAATTAAATATTCAACCTCGGAATCCACCAAAAATGATGTTCGCTCGTCACGTCACTTTGACGTATAACTAACAATGTTGCCGAAACAATTTCCGAATTTTATTGAAATTGTTACAGATCACTCCATTAATTGCTCTACATTGGTCCGTATGTGTTACGAAGCAATAATTGCTCAAAAAATTGCCCGTGTAAGCGCAGCTTCAGATCTATTTTGTCCGCTGATGAAATTCAGAATATCGCCTTTTTACAGGAAGAAATTGCGATTATACCATTTTGCGTAGCAAATAACACGTGTATCGTTTCCTAATCGAAGAAAAAAATGTTGAAATGCCATCTCTCTATCTACAGGGTATCCTGAAGGTTGGGACCTTCCTTTTTAGAAACAATTACGTTTGTAATAGCAAAGCTGATGGTCAGTAAAAGAACAGCGAAAAACAAAAAAAAAGTATTCACCGTTCATCGGAAAGAAACTTCAAGTACAGCTCTCTCACTTGTAAGTATTGTTCAAAGTTGCCTGCGATAGATTCACAGACACATGTATGTGCTCGACATAGACAAAAATCGGTGTGGGCTTTCAGAATGGACTGCCTGTCTGGAATGCATGCAGCAAATTGCTGAACTCGCACACGCAATTGGTCTACCGTGTGCACCTCAATTTTATACACTTGACGTTTCATTCTGCATATGTTATTAGAAAAAAACTGTTTACTTTTCCAAGATTCATATACAGGCTAAAGGAAGGTTCCATCTTTAAGGATATCCTGTATAAGTATAAATGTGTATGATTATTCGGTTGTCAGCATGACGTCTGTACTTCAATGCGGAGATACGTAAAAATTTCTCACACCTACGACACCAGTTGAAACTCGAGGAAAGCTATCAGCATGGCTTAATCCGCAAAAAGTCTTATAGTATAGAGTTGTAAAGTTTGTAAAGATTTATCCATCGGTGATCTTGAACGTGGCCTTGACTATGACCTTCGAAGGTCAAGACAGTTTTATTAAGAGAGGATCCAATTGACACACTGGAAATGTAAAGAGCTAAACAAATTTTTTGTTGATGTGTGACTTTCTTGGATATTAATAGTCTAATCATATTAGCAAATTTCTCCGAAATAATTGTAAAGTCCGGTTTTATTGGTGCAAGTTGTTCAAGGGGACATTTAAAATATAGACGCATATAATAGGTACACGGATTGTTGTGGGAAAACTTTTTATTTGACAACAAAGAATGAGAAAACGTGTTTTTTTGAATGTTTATATAAGGTATTTATGAGAGTTACAAAATGAGACAAGAAGTTAAAAGATCCGACTAATAGCAAAAATGTTATGACAGGAAAACGAGGGAAAATATAGGTGTTGGCACGTTGATAGTGCTACGATAATTTAACGCAAGTACTTGAAATTCTTCAAATCCGTGGGATCCATACTTCTAAATAACAACAACGAAATTGTAGTTTTTCGAGAATTTCTAATTGTTTATCCCAAAACACCTGTTTTCCGACCATTACTACTAGTTTATTGAGTAATATACAAGGTTCATTCAAAGAGCATTTAATAGCAAAGTACACGTGTTTACCTTGCTGATATGAATCACAAACCATTCCGAAAGATGAATGTTATTTTAACAAATTCAAACATTTCGTATTTGTAATTGAACACGATATTTGAAAAACATAATATGTTACTATCCACATTTTAAAACAAAGAGGATGTGTCTATCACATTTTGTTACGAATTTGTTTAGAAGAAAAAACATAGCCCAACCTTTTTTGTATGAAAACAACATTTATATTTCAGAATGGCTTGTAATTCATGTCGGAAAGGTAAACCGGTGTTTATTTTGCTATAAAATGTTCTGTGAACAAACCCTGTATATTGCTCAATAAACTAGTATATGGCCGGAAAACAGGTCTTTTGGGATAAACAACTAGAAATTCCCAAAAAATATTTTACCAATATACTCCAATTTTTTTTTGTTATTTAGAAGTATGAATCCTACGAATTTGAAGAATTTCAAATATCTGCGAGAAACCATCGTCACATTACCAACAAGTGCCAAAACCTGCAGTTTGCTTCGGTTTTCGGCCATAACTTTTTTGCTATTAGTCAGATCTTTTTAGGTATGCTCTCATTTTGTAGGTCTCATAAATACCTGACAATCTAATATAAACAGTTTTTTTCGTTCCTGCTAACACTTTCGATTGAATCCTGAAAAACACGTTTTCTCATTCTTTGTTGTCGAATAAAAAGTTTTCCCACCAAAATTGGTGTACCCCCTTGAACAGCTTGTAACAATGATACCAGACTTTACAATTATTTCGCAAACCAGGCGTATTTTCATCTAATATGGTTAGACTATAAGGGGTGTCCAGAAATAAGGAAAAATATCTTATATTAAGGACACCCTGTACATGTATAAATGTGAATGTACCAAAATAAGGAGATACGTAAAAACTTGTACACTTACCAATTGGGACTCGAGGGAATCTATAAGCATGCTTATACATCGTGTTCAAACAGTACGGATAGATCAAAATGTCTCAAAAAATACGTTGAAAAATGTTGTAAAACAAAGTTGTACAGTTTGAAAAGAGTCATCTATTGGTGATCCTGAACGTGATCTTAATATAAATATTCAATGCCATGTGAAGGTCATTACAGTTGTATCAAATGAGACCCCAATTTTTGACACCGGTAAAACAAAGAGCGAAAAAAAATTAAATTAAAGCATACCTTGATCATAACCTTCATGGTGTCAAGAAAGAAGGGAAAGGACAAATATCTCAAAAATACGTTTCATAAAAAAATTTTTATATTGAGTTGAAATATTTGAAAAGATTCATCTGATGGTGACCTTTAACTGGACCTTGACTGTGATGTTCAAGCTTATATGAAGGCCGATAGTTTTCTTTGATGGATACCCCCAGCTTTGACACCGGAAACAGAAAAGGTCAAAAAATATGATAAGGTATGCTCATGTCCTTGACCACGATCATCAAGGTCATTTGAGGATCAAACGAATTTTCAGCAGAAAATATCTATTCTTAATTCCTGAAACGTAAATTGCGGACTATTTTAAGTTCAAGTATATCCCTAGCAATAAACCTGATCATGACCTTCAATGTCATTCCAAGATCAGATAAACCTTCAAATAAACTCCTCGCTTTTTGTCAAGTATACAAAGGAGAAAAACAGTTTCTTACACTCAAACGTTATACGAAATTGTTCATTGCCGAAGAAGCTATTACATTACTATAAATATTTAATTTCTTTCTCAAAAGCCAATCTCCGTCATACTAATTTCACACAACATCAAAAGTGTTGGACCCCCTGGCGTACTGGGAAACTATACTCTTCTAATTTCTATCTTTGATGTATTTTAAATTGGAGATATTTTTACTATAATTATTTAACAAAACGTTAAATTAATGTCATTAATATGAAAAGAAAAAGAAAGTTGAACAAGTAAGGTATCCAAAATTTTATTTTTAAAAATCAAAATTAAAGAAAAATAATTATTCTAATGAAAAATAAAACAATTAATAATCAGTTCGGTGTCCTCTAGATCTTAGCAGTGCGTTCACACGCCTTGGCATTCCTATTATTCGGTGGTTAATGTTTTCTTGGGGTAAATTATTCCACTCTTCATTTACTGCTGCAGCCAACTCATTTAGGGTTGTAAGTGGGTCTATTCTGTTCGTGCGGCTCGAGCTATAGTGTGCCAAATGTTTTCAATGGGATTCATATCTGGGCTGTTCGCAGGCAACGGCACCTTCTCGCTCTACGTGGCCTTGCATTATCATCCATAAAAATGAAGTTGTTACCGAATTCATTTCGCAAAGGTTGAATAATGGGTTGTATGACATTTTCTTCATAAATTTCTACAGTCATTGTCCCCTGAATCTGAATTAAAGGTGGTTAAACATTATGCCTCCCCAAAACATTATTGATCCGCCCTGATATGGGACAACTTCTCGGGCCAAATTTAGTCGCTGTTGATGTCCGGGTTCTCTCCAAACTCTTATTCCACGGTCACCACTCATCAGTCCAAACCTAGCCTCATCTGTAAATACCACATTTCGCCACTGTGGTAAAAGCCACTCCTGATGTTCTCTAGCCTACTGGAGACGAGCAGCAATTTGTCTACGAGTAAGACGTGGAACCCTTAAAGATCTTCTAGGGTGCAAATTTGCTATTCGCAATTTTCTTCTGATGGTAGAAGTGGAAATAACTCTTCGAAAGGTATGTTGAATATGCGATCTCATAGCTGTAATTATTATTCGGGCAAATAGAGCAATGTAACGATTCTCCATATCATCTGTTACACGAGGACGCTCACTGCGTGGCCGATTTTTAACTGAGCCAGTTTCTTGGAATCTTTGAATTGTTCGAATAACCGAACTTCTTGAGATACCCAAATCCAGTGCTATTCGGTGATTTGAAAATCCAGCATGAAAGAGGGCTACTATTCGTGTTCTATCAAAACCAGAAATTTCAGCTCGCGGCATTTTAAAAGTTACAGTATTAAATTTTATTTTAATACTTTTTGCTCAAACACTAACTAAAACTGACTTATTTCTATAAGAATCCAAACACATTTTTATCTCAACGGTTTTTTGCGTTTTTTGCTTGCTAAATATACTAAGTGACATATAAATCCGAACACCCAGTTTAAATGGTTTTATTTTAATAAAATTTTGTATAAGTACTTAATGAAGCATAATAAGTAAGTGATAAAAATTTCAAAATGATTGCACTGCTCTAAAGCCCTTTGACCTTTAATAATGTGTGGATGCACCCTGATGTGCTACGCATTCTCCAACGCGCCTAGGCATGCTTCTGATCAGGTGGTCAATGTCCTCCTGTGGTATCTCATTCCAGGCAACCACCAACTCCTCTTGAAGTGCTTCTAGAGTCTGAGGAGGACGTTGCAAATTGAGCAATCTCCTACCCATCATATCCCACACGTGCTCAATTGGGGATAAGTCGGGAGATCTTGGTGGCCATGGTAACAATATGACATCATTATGTTGAAAGAAGTCTATTGTGACTCTT